AATTATGAACTCAAGAAGYAGAACACCCAAATGTGAGATACACACCTAAAGGAATTTTTTAAAAAATAGGTTAACGGTTTGCTCAAAATAACCAACATATAAATGAGCAAAAGGATATAATGTGATGGTAATGCCAATATAGAAACTGAGTATGCACTGAAAGTGTCAAAACATCTCCTCAAACTGTGATATAAGTATTCAATTATCAAGCAAAGCACAAGAACACAAAATATGGGAATGGTAAGAAGGAAAAAATTCAAAACTCAAGGGCAAATGTGACTTCAACCTCAACTCTATGAAAGTAATTATGTCCAGATGGGCTATATTTGGTTCGTATCATAGGAAAGTGTGTATCCACTCTTTAATATCATCACTTAAAACTAATTGACTTCAAAAGCAAGCATAATGGAATGGTAAGTGTTAACGAAGGATTCACTGTAAGAAAAACCTTTATCACATAGGGTTTGCCTAGTTTTTTTTTTCTTTTCTTTTCTTTTTTTTTTTTTTTTGCTAACATAAATGGTAGGTTATGAAACTGATACTTCAATGGGAAGAGTCACAACTATGATCATTCATTGCCGACTAAATAGGTTTGTCTAGTGTTGATTTGCCAATTTTTCAAAAATCAACGAGGTCTTGGTCATTAGGATGAATGATAGGTTAAAAGAATCAAATAACATTTAATATAGGCATTAGATGCTCAGATCATCTCTTTAGAGATTTAATTCAAGGTCTACTCTCATCATTATATTTTCATAATCTTTTTCTTTTCTTTCTTTTTCTTTCTTTTCTTTCTTTTGATTAAGGTTCTCTTCATAGCCATATGGATAGAGATTGCTCTTCATATTCTTCATCAGCATAAATCGTACATTTTCATTGATTAGAGAAGACTTTATTTTGAGACGAAATGTAAATAGGTAGGGAAAATCAAAATTAGTGTATGGGTGTTATCATAAAGGACCCCATAGCGATAAAATCATCTTAACCACCCTACTTTCTTTTAACTATTTCTTGATTCTCCATTTTCTAATTCATTATTACATTGATCTTCCTTGATAATTGCCCAACTTTCTTTGATTATTTCATTTTCAACAAAACTTCTAAAAGTTCATTCCTTTTTCTCTATTTTTTTTCTTTTTTTTTTTATTTTTGCCCTTTTTCACATTTTTCTTTCTTTCATTTTCTTTTTTTTTCCTCTTTGTTTGAGCTCTTGCTCAACTACTCTAATTGCATTCTTCTTATTTAGACACCCACTTACTAGGAAGTGTTTATTGTGAAGAAATTATTAACAGAAAAGCTCAAAGGACTAATTAGGGGACTTTATATTATCAGGATTGAATACACAAGGTTAAACATGTGGCCAATGATGGCCTCCCTTCATTTCATTATTGATTATATGTCACATATTGAAAAAGCATATGTTGAGCATGGCTTATATCTGATTTAATACCTCCCCACTCTAAATTTAGCTAAGATTCCTTTGATAAAGCATCTCAAGCAATGGAAAGAGAAATGGGGAAAATGATATTTTATTTATGAAAGTGGCTAATGAGATGGGTTGTTCTACATACCCATTGAAAGGGATTAAGCCAAACATAGTCCAARATCCCTATCAATGGAATTTGTCAATAACTATTCCTCTATTCTTTCTTTTTATTCTATCTGATTTTTCTATTTTCATGTCCCCCTTGTTTTTATATCTTTCTTGACCTTGTTTTCTTAGCCTCCCTTACATACATCCTCTTCATTTTCTTATTTGGATCTTTTGTTGCTTTTTTTGTATTTTTTTTTGTTGATATTTCCTTTCTTTTTTTTACCCATTTTTTCTTTTTTTTTTTTGGTTGGTTTTGCTAGCTCTAACTTGCCTAAAAGACTCCTTTATTATTATCTTTTACAGAATTCTGAATTCATGTACTCTCTTACTTTTTTCCTTTTCATATTTAATTGTTTTTTTTTATTTTTTTGGTATTTTTCATTATTCATTTTTTATCCTTTACATTCTCACATTTTTTCTCTGTTTTTTTTTTTGGTATTTTCATTTGAACTTAAGTCAAATTAAACATGCAAACAAGAAACATTGACCCCCATTGAGTAGACTAACATGACATGCAGGATGACTTTCTAGTCATCCCTTCCCAATGGTCACTTACATAGACCAATCAACCCTATAGACCAATCAACCCTTCCCAATGGTCACTTACATAGGTTCACCGACTTAAGCTGATAAGCTTCAAACTTGCTTGGCCCTTCGACTCTACTCGGAGATGACACACTGAAACAATGAAGATTTCCAATTTTGTTTCGACCATTGCATTGACACATTCTTAACACACAGACACACCCGAGTTTTGTTTCAATCAATGTATACTACTTATTTATCCAATTCGTTTTTAGTTCCCACTTTTTTTCCTGCTTCGATTATTTTTCTTACCATTACACCTAAATTTTATTGGACTAACGAAACGGATTTTTTGAATGAATCACCAGGGTTCGGGAAACCTATTTATGGTGGGAGGTAACCGAAGTTTATCAAGGTTTGGCAATTTAGGTCTTTATTATATTCTACAAGTTCAATTATAGCTTTATAAAGCAGTTCAAAATATCGATATGTCCGATATGTTGGTATGGGCATATCGGGCGAATCAATATAGTTTTTGATGCTTTTTTTTTATACTTTTTTTCGCAACCAGTTCAGAGGACCGGTTTAGGGCTCCTCCACCCCCTGAACTGGTTAGACCCTCAATACATTCACTGTAGGGACATTATCGGAGGGGTCCCGGAACAATATGTATTGACCGATACGGGCCAATATATGTCGATACTTTGAAACTTATTATAAAGTGGACAAGTAGAACTTCTCCCCAAGTAGTAGGTAAAGTTTACCGGGAAGAATCTCTAATCGATCCATAAACATGTAGTAAAGAGATGTAATTCATTCAGTGATTAAGGCACAAGAATCCGCATTAACACTCTTCTCAAAGAAACACAGCCCTAAGGTTTGCTCAAGTTTGACAGAGGCTAAGACAATCAAACTCCAGACAATTTACTCACGTCAACCACCAATCGTGCATGAAAATACTACTTACCAGGCAGGCTCCTTTTAAATCTCTGGGTTATTGTATCATATTAACAAAACCATTATAGACCACGAATTTCAAAAGGTTGCATATGAATTAAATACAGGGTCCAGATGTATTAGGCACATTAGGTAAGCACAATGAGTGAGCACGTAATAGCTATATGATATATGTCTCAGTTAATGTGCTTTTTATCCAAACGTTTTTCTCTGTTAGACAGAAGTTATCCAAACGTTTTCTTTTTTCATTGTTTTTTATTTTTAATTATTTTGACAAAGATAATAGAATAATAGATAATTTCTGTCTAACAGAACAAAAACATTTGGATAAAAGGCACATTAACTGTGACATGTATCATAATGTATCATATAGCTATTACGTGCTTACTCATTGTGCTTACCTACGCGCCTACTACATCCATCCAGACCCTTAATACAATGGCAACCCTTTAAATCTCTGGGTTATTGTCGGAGGAGAAACCGGAAAAGAAACCACTCCTCGTCTGATTCTGAGCAATTGGACCACTTAAAAGTGAAAAGAAATACCCGAGAGAACTCATGAGGACCCAAGCTTGAACACTTAAAGTCAGATTTCAGTCGAAGTCTTCTCAGCTCCTTTATTTATTTTATTACCTTTTTTTCTCATTTTTTACTACGAGAGGAAATAAGTCTAAACACATGAACCTGGATGACAGAGTCGGGTGCCTATCAAAAATCAGATTTCAAGTCCCATCATTTTTTAATACTTAGCCCTGAAACCAACATTCAGGCTCGCCTAGTTCATTCCTAGCCTAATGCTTAAGCAAACAACAGTTTCAGGAGTAAGTTCAACTTCAGATGAGGCTGCTTCTCTGCAATCAAATTGAATTCCCTGCTTGGTTCGAGTCTTGATTCTAAGAGCAACTTAACCCAAAGCATATGGAGAAAGGTTGTGCCTTGAGTAGGCCTAGCTGATGCCTCGTCTCTAATGGAGGCCCAATCTTAGGTTCAAAAGGACTCGAACCATCTATTATTCAATGGAAACATTTCAAACTTAACTGTCTTAGAAAGAAAGTATAATTTCATTGGAAAACTGAAGGACAACACATGTAGAGACCACATTATTCAAAATGTCCAACGTCATAGATCAGACAATTACAAATAACCGAATTTCAAGTTTTGAAATAAATTCCCCAATTCATCTTTTGCCTAATTTGCTTGTTGTTTCATTATATTTATTTATTTTTGTTTATGTTTTTTTATTTCTTTTATTATTTTTTTGACCGGGTTAATTTGCCTTCTCTGTTCAATCACTTCTCTCATTCCAGTTCTTATGTCAAACCTTCCCTAATTTTGATCATGTCAACTAGCTTTACAGGTTCAATATTCTCCAGCAACAATCCCGAGAAATCACCCTAAACGACCTTTCGGTTTGGACCACCGCATATCATAGCATGATAGCAAGACAATTTTCATGTTTGAATGAAATTGCTGATAACAAGCAAACCAAGTTTCATAAACAGATCAGATCAGTAATCTCAACAAGCAAGAAAGAGATAATGGTAATTGAAAGAAAAACAAGAATACAGCATTGAGATCGGCATTCTCATTCAATTCAATAATCAGAGAAATCATATCGGGAAATTAAGCACAATGAACAAGTCATCAGACAAAATTGCAGAGATATAATGTATAAGAACGACTAAAAAGATTGTCCTATTTTCAGAAACCCGAAACATTCACAGCCTCGACATGTACTTTGGAAAGTCTGGCTTGCTCTGAAAGATTGTATAAAAGCTGGTTCGGCAAGGAGCTTCATCACCGGCTCCAACAACTTCCCCATGGACTCCCATTAATCCATGACGATGCACAGAGAATACAAACGAAAAAGAAAGAAATTAAAGGAATGAAAATGAAATATGAAAAGAAAATTAATAGTGCTTACCTGATTTGGATTCGGATGTCGGCCTGAAAACGATCGACGGAACAGGGGGGCTTCAAACGATTTCAGTCACGAGATTATCACCTTCGAACAACAGATCGGAACGCATCCGGTGTTAACTACGATGATTTGTTGGGAGGTGAATGGGAATAGAGAATTGAACTGCCGCTTCTAACTTTCCATTCTCATCAAGAAGGTGATGACCAGTGACTAAGACGGAAAGGGAAAAAAAATGGCAGGATGGAAGGGGATCGGAGATGCAGAGAAAGAGAAAGACGAGAGGGCGGAGTTATTGCTAAATTCAGATCCGCCGCTGCAACAAGTTGCAGTTGTTGCAGCGGCGGTAATGGAATGGAAGAGAGGAACGAAGATTTGTTTAGTGGGTTTTATTTATAGGATTAAAAAGTTAAAACCCAACCGTTGGAGATCAAATCAGCCCCCACAAGATTGTCCCCCACAATACATGGCGAGGATGTGCTGTGGGACTTTGTGTGGGACAATCATCCAATTATAAAAGCAAAATACCAGTCAAACCCCCACAATACATGAACGGGCCCGTTTGGCGTGTCTTTCTRTATGGTCTTTCAGCTGTTTACAAGTTGAGAAAACCGATTTTTGGTCTATTCCCGTTTAGTTCGTGGAAGATCTAATCGCCAAAAGACATAGCACTGAAAAGATACAAAAAACCCATTTTAGGATGATTTCGTGAAGTTTTAAATGAAGCTTTCCCCGTCTTTTGCGTTTTAATCTTGTGCGGAAAGATGCGTAGAAAGATGAGTGTGTGCTAAACGTGCTTCGGGCTGCTCAGATCTTAATGCAAAAAATCAATGCGCCTTTTGCATGTCCGAACTATCAAAAGATCTTCCCAAAAAGACACACCAAACGAAACTCAATTAAAAAGCTAATTCTCATTCAATCCTGATATTCTTGTTGTGTTTGTTACACATGRTTTCTCAAATTTACTTTTTGCATTCATCATTTTAAAAGGAACTCTCAAGTTTCAATTAAAGAAATATATGGTTCATAACATATGGCCAGTTTTCATAATACAGGCTACAAAAATATAATTGGTTTTCATAATACCAATTCCATAAGAAAGCATTAACAAGCATTTAGTAGTTAGTATTCATATAACCAGCTACTAACATGAATGGTTTACAGGAAAGCATTATCAAGAGCTCAATAATTGGTGTTCACAACACTGATTATATTCCGTCTTTTGAAAATGATTAGTAAACTTTTGCACGTTATTATAACTTGGATATTGTCTTATAGGTTGTGTGTAAAAATGAAGAAAATGAAGTAGAATAAAGTAAAATTCAAAACAAAATTGAACGGAAATTTGCATTTTTTTCATTTGTACTCCCATGCATTTGTGCTAGTGCAAATAAAATTGCATTACAACCAAACACCATTTGAAAGACGACAAAAATGGTATTAACACTTTGACATGYCAAGAAAGACCAAATTGGCCAAAATTGCAATTTCACAGTTTGGATTGGTGTAGTAGTTGTAGGGCCCAAATGGGCATCATATTATGGGGGTTGATGTGGAAACCCAACTAAAAAATTACAAAATTAGTCTCAACACTTGGACACGTTAGGAAAGTCCGATCTAGGCAAAACTATGAATTCGAAGTTTTAATCGTTAAAGACCATTATAATGGTTTTGATGGTTGGATATGAGAACCATCTTTTACAAGTAGATGTGGAAACCAGTTAAACAGATGGTGGAATTGATCTTGAAATTTGCATTTGTGTAGTTTCAACTTTCAACTGTCAAGGACTTTCATGTGTCAAAGTGTCAAGACCAATTCCACCATCTGTTAGATGGGTTTCTACATTCAACCCTAAAAGATAGTGCCCATTCTATCATTGGAACCATCATAATGGTCAAAACTATGAAATCACAATTTTGGACAGTTAGTCATTTCTTCATGTGTTCAGGTGTTGAGACCAATTCCTCCATCCGTTAAATGGGTTTCAAATCAGCCACTAAAAAGATGGCATTCATTTGGCCTTCAAAACTACCATAACCACCCTTAATGGTCAAAACTACCAATTTTTCCATTCATCAAATGAGTTACYAAATCCACCCGTAGAAACAGTACCCAACTAGCCACTAGAAATACCATAGCAGTCTTTAATAGTTGAAACTATGAAATCACAATTTTGTTAGTGCAACATGCTTACTGTGTCCAAAGTGTCAAGACTACTTTCTCCAACCATTAAATGTGTTTCCACATCTGACCCTAAAAGATTGTGCCCATATGGCCATCAAAACCAATGTAAGAGTCCTTAATGGTCAAAACTTTCAAATTGCCTAGATTAATTGTACAAGTTCCAAGATCAAATTTTCCATTATTAAATACATTTTGGTCGGCCAAGCCCTTCTCAACATGATCTCGAGACCAATTCCACCATACCACATCCACCCATAAAATATGGTGCCCAACCAGCTGCCAAAGCCACTTTAAGAGTCCTTCATGGTTAAAATTGAAAAATTGTAGTTTTGGTTGGTCCAAAACTACCTAGTATCCAAGTGTCAAGACTCTTTTCATCATCCAATAAACGGGTTTCCACATCCTCCTATAAAAGACTATGCCTAGCCTGCCATCGAAACCGCCACAACAATCCTTACTGCGAAGTCATAGTTTTGGCTGGCTCAACCCGTCTTGCATGTCTAGGTGTTGAGACCAATGGGTTCYAGGTACCAGGAGTARTTGTGCAATCTATTATACATGTTTTGATGTCCATCTGTAAAAGATGATCCCCATTTGATCACTAAAACCCCTAGAACATTCTTTAATGATCAAAATTATAAAATCACAATTTTGGCCAACTTGGCAATGTTTAGTGGTTCTAAGTGTTAGAACAAAATACGCCATTTGTCATATGGGTTCCTAAATTTGTAAGTAAAAGATGGTGTTCATCCAATTATTGGAACCACCATAACGGTCATTAACAGTTGAAACTACCAAATCAAAGTTTTGGTCAGCCAAATTCAYCCAAATCTGACACCATTTACCCCTTCATCTTATGACCCAAAGCTGGAACCAATTCTGATCGTTCGATACGGCYATTTCGATCATAAACCTCATCTCACATCAAGTTAGAAATCGAATTTCATAGATACGTAGAGCTCAAAATTCCAAATCCGGTGACACCAAGATCACTCAAATTTCACACCATTTACCCATTCATCTTAAAACCCAAAGCCAAAATTGTCTAATCAAGCTCATTTTGATCCTAAACCTCACATCAAGCTAAAAATTGAATGCCATAGGTATGTAGAGTCAAAATTTTCAAATCTGACGACACCAAAATTACCCAAATTTGACAACGTTTGCCCCTTCGTCATAGGACCTGAAGTTGGAACCGATTTTGATAATCCGGTTGAGGTTATTTTGATCATGAAACTCATCTCACATCAGATCAGAAATCCAAAGCCATAAGTACACATATTCCAAAACTCTAAATATAACAACACCATGATTACCCAAGTCCAACATCATTTACCCATTCATCTTAAGACCTGAATTCGGAATTGATTCAAATCGTCTGGTTGGGGTCATTTTGATCCTGAACCTTGTCTCCCATCAAGTTAGAAGTCCAACACCATAAGTACATAGAGCCCACAATTCCAAATCTAATGACAGAAAGAACACCCAAATCCAACAGCATTTACTCCCATTCATTTCAAGATCCAAAGTTGGAACCAATTCTGATTAGGATCATTTTTTATCCTAAACCATATCTCATAGGAAATAAAAAACCCATCCCTGTAGATGCATAAAACTCAACATCCTGAGTCCAACGATACTAAAATCATCCAATTTCGACACAGTTAATCCCTCCATCTTGATACCCAAAGCTAGATTCAATYTGAACCCTTTATTTAGAATCATCTTCACTATAACTTCGAACCTAGGGACCTACACGATCAGGTATTTCTCCCAGCCTCTAGAACAATCTTAAATTTTAAAATTTAACCAGTTACGGAGTCTCTATTCAATCAATCCAATCACCAAACTTGGAATGTTCAATTTAGGCAAATTTATAAAACATTCCACTTATTGTCTTGATTGATTCAAAAAATCTYTCTCAAGGCTATCATGCCAWCCCTTTCTCAAATTTAATTTCCCTCCAAAAATATTTTAAACGTCAACCATTGATCTCTCCAAAATCAAATCTCAACCATCCATTCCCTTTTAGAAGCATTCTTAAAACTCTATAAATACTCCCTTTCTCACACACAAGGACACATTCTAGCCTAGGGAGAGAACTTGGCAACTATTAGGCTAGACAATACCTCCCTCCACATCCAAAGCAACACTAGCCTTCCCTCACCCACGTCCAAGCTCATGAGAACACCTCCATCACATCCAAAGAYTCTCCTAGGCATTTTATACCACTATTATAGTTTATAATAACTTTTCACTCATCATACATAACCCTTCCCACACATCCTAGGTGCTTAGGATTTGTTTTCCATGACCGCAACACCCCTTCCACTCACCCACAAGCTACAAAAACCCAATTGCCATCTGAAAACCAATCCTAAAACCTCGAAGACATGGCTAAAACTTGCTTGAATTTGATAATTGCTACAAAAAGTAGAAGGCATCTAGAAATGTTTCTATTGTTATTAGGTAACATAGCCTCTATTTTAAGAGTTTCAAAATGGTCCGGAAATGGAGAAAGACATCCAAATGACCTAAAGATTCGAGAAGAGTGCAGAGTTCATGTTGAGATTACTACCAATGCATGGASATTAATGACTGGAAAACTTCGGGAACTTCGGATATGACAATAGCATCTTCATGTTTTTAGGCCACGACTAAGGTAATTCTCTTGATATTGAACCTATGGATTCTAGAAGGGAATGGAGGGCTAAGATTTGAGAATAAGAAGACCAATGGATGAGATTTAAAGTACTTTTGGAGGGAGATTGATTGAGGAAAGGGCTGTCAAGACAACTTTGGGAGAGATCCTCTCAATCAATCAAGACAATAAGTGGAAAATTTCACCAATTTTCCTGAATTAAACATTCAAAATTTAGGCGATTGGCTTGATTGATTGGAGGYAAGGTTCAAACTTTCAATACGATATGCCYCGTATCGAGTATAACATATCATTACATTAACGATACGCCCCTACAAGGGTTGTATCGAGCTGTGACTTGATTCAAGGGGTGGACCATCCAGAGACCGGCYCCTCTGAATCAGTTTCAAAGAATAAATAAAAAGGGAGAGTGAGCTTYAATAYAAGCTGATATGCCCATACCAATGTATTAGTTTGTATCAATATTTTAAACCTGATTGGAGGCTCTTTAGCTAGATAAATTTTAAGGTGGTTCTAGAGGATGGGATAAAG